CACACATATTATGTCCCAAGAGAGGCATTTGAAGTACCATCGGCGAAAGGTTCACTACCTGAAACGCAACTTTCAAACTCCAAGTGTAGTGAAATCGAAGGGTTGCTTCGAAGGTAGTTCCAAAGATGAATACTAAGATGAAACTGTTGGAAGAACAACTTTCTATTTTAGGCTGTGAACCATTTGCCGAGTTAAATTTAACTCGTGGTTAAAAGTGACATTTCGAAAGTTATTTTCTATGTTCGAAAATCCCCGTGCTGTCGATCGACCGGTTTTCGAGCCACGGTTGTCAAAATTTAACTTCTTGTCTGTCAGAAATAACCATGCTCGGATAGCAGGGTTAATCGATAACTTTTCATCTGTCAAATTTTAACCAAAAGTTAAAATAATCCACCAAATGGTTCAGAGCCTTAGTGTCTTCTTTCACGGTCCCTTTCATCCAATGAGAACCCCCCGTATTCAAGGTAATTTTGTGATTTTGCTGCCCCCTCGGAAGAGATGAAATTTTGCGCTCATTTTTATCAAAACAATCACACCAAAATCAGAGATGTCCCATTTTTTAATTACTCGATTAACAACTAATCGATTATTTTTTGTTCGCTGTGCTGCCATTTTTCCACCAATGAGAGTGCAGCACATGTTTAAAACGATCGGTGATGATCCTGTGGAGATGTTAATGCTTATATCGGCATGATCTAACCGATTGTAAATAGTTTACTTTTCGGTTCGTTAATCGATTAAGGGTGTGAACCATTTGCCGAGTTAAATTTAACTCGTGGTTAAAAGTGACATTTCGAAAGTTATTTTCTATGTTCGAAAATCCCCGTGCTGTCGATCGACCGGTTTTTGAGCCACAGTTGTCAAAATTTAACTTCTTGTCTGTCAGAAATAACCATGCTCGGATAGCAGGGTTAATCGATAACTTTCCATCTGTCAAATTTTAACCAAAAGTTAAAATAATCCACCAAATGGTTCAGAGCCTAAACGATTATTCGAATGAAAATCGGACATCACTAGATGAATGTGAAACGTCATTTCAAATATAAGGCCGTTCATAAATAATGATACAATTTGAAAGGGACCGGGGCTAATCACAAATTACGTCTCCATGGTAACTGAAATAAACACGAGTGTTCACCGGTTGGTAGTTCCGAGCGATGTTTGGAGTTGAATTCTACGGTAATTCTCAGGACCTCCTGATTTCAGACGAATTCTAAGCAAGATTTTTGGTTAGAAATCTGAGCGTTAAGCTAAGGTATTTCTGAGAACAATTTGAAAGAGAAATTTATGAATAACTTCAAGTGAATTCTTAGTTTTGGCAAGGCATCTTCTTATCTAGGTCTTTACGCTTCTGTAGCCCATTTGAAAGGGATCAGTGCTGGTCGCAGATGACGATCATGTGGTAACTAACAAAATACGGATGTTAACTGGTGTGTATAATCCTGAGCAATTAATTGTTCATTATGCTGACGGAAAAGCAGTTGAGGTATAGCGGAGAAATACGGTGAAGTGAAGCGAATTATCAGGAAGAAATTCCTTGCGTAGTTGGGTCCGAGGCCCAACATGTACACAGGTGTACGGGGTGTATACATGGACGTGAGATACGGTATCCCTAACTCGCAGCAATTCCTCAATCGGATGGCGAATACATTCTATAAAGGGAAAACAATATGTGTTTCTTGTGTAAGATGGAGGAGCACCGAATAAGTTCTTGCCAGAAAAATATAAACCGTACGAATTTGGACATTTTTGGACAACGCCCGGAGGCCGAGGAGAAATTTAGATAGAGCTCGAATTAGGGCGTAACAGCTTTTGCAAACAATGACTTCTTTCGATGATATCTAGAAAGTCAAGGCTCGTCCACGCAAATCAACATCACCATCGGTTAGGGGAAGCTATATTGCGTATTTTGGACCATTCTAATCTAATCTAATCTAATTCAAAAGCATAATGGAAAATTATTAAGTTAGATAACGCATAGTCATGTTTCATGTCAGTATTGGTTTTTATCTGAGATATGACACGAACGTCAAAACGGCCAGGCCAACTGCGTTGTATTTGCCTCGGTATTTGCCGCAAAGATGATCCTTGAAAATGATTCCAGCTCAAATAAGAATATTTAAACAACGAAGCATTTCTCGAATTCACTGGGGAAGGATGAATGGATATACCGTACCAAAGGCTCGAGTTATATGAATGTGATTGCAATAATATTGAATATCTCATATAATTTATGGTACATGTAATGTTAAACATAGCAATGGAACGGTCTAACCGTATGTCTCCTATGTTATTCATATCCCATCCTGTCCAACTGCTGTGCCCAAATTGGGTCGTTTAGGGGTATTGAGATAAATATATATTCGTTATCTGCATTAAAAATGGAACCGAAATCCAAAATTTCATCAATTTTGGTACACTGGAACTATTTTAAATAAGTACAATTACATAAGCAAAAATCACCACCTTAGCGCCCCTTGGTGGGACTTTGTATAGACTTCTCTGACGTTTGTGAAATGTACAAGTATTAGTACAAAACTTTGGGTAAATTATAAGTATTAGTGCAAGAAAACCTTTGAATTTACCCAAAGCTCTGCACTAATACTTGTGCAATTCACAAACGTCAGAGAAGTCTATGGGAGCGAGCTGTCAACGAATAGATTTAGTGTCAACGATCAAAAATTGAAATCTTGATTTAAAAATCGAGATGAATGTCTACGGGATCGATAAAAATATCGTTGTGCTCAGAAAACGAAGCTCTATCAGATGATTTATAAAAATCTGTATATTTTTCGAATTTAAGGGTATTGAGGTAAGTGCATGTTCGTAATCTGCATTAAAAATTGAACCCATACCAAAAATTTCATCAATTTCGGTACCCTGGAACTATTTTAAATAAGAACGATTACATTTGCAAAAATCACCTTATTAGCACCCCTCGATATCTTGTATGGGAGCGAGCTGTCAGTTTGTCACTTTAGTGTCAAACAGTAAAGTTATTACTATGCTTTAAATCTTGGTTTAAAAATCGAGATGAAGGTGTGTGGGTTCGAAAAAAATATTACTGTGCTCAGAAAACAAAGCTCTTTCAGAAAATATATAAAAACCGATATATTTTTCAAAATTAAAGAACCCAATTGCCGAGTTAAATTTAACTTGTAATCAAAGAGTGACATTTCGAAAGTTTATTTCAATGTTCGAAAATCCCTGTGTTGACGATTGACCGGTTTTCGAACAGAACTCAGCTACAGTTGTCAAAGTCTAACCCGGCAAATGGGACACAGCCTTAGACTTAAAACTTATCAAAGGAAATCTGTGCTGGCCTTTTTCGAGGCCTTTCTGAATTTTGTTGTGCACATGCTTGGATTTCATTTGATTGATATCGCCTTCTGATGACATCGACGATGGACCTCACCAACCGAGATCCAAATCTGAGGCCACCATGCCCGAATTTGTACCGCAGGCATCGATAAATGAAGTCCTGTAGCTTTTGAGTGCTTTCCGCTGATCTCACATGAGTTGAAACCCAGGAATTTAGTGCGTTCACTAATCTAATTTGATCCTCATATATTTCGTAAGATCGCAGAGGTAGCCCTACTAAGCCTTCTTCATTCGAGCACTTATGTCACACTTGGTCCCACCCTCTGACGCTATCTGCTAACTAAATACCAAGATATTGGAAGCTTTCGACTTTCTCCACTGCTTGCCCTGCTGTTGGCATCCAACGATTTGGTCTGGCAGAAGTTGATGCGGAGACCTACCGCAGAGGAGCTTACGGCTAGGTCGTTGAGCTTACTAAGCATTTCAGGACGCCGTTGGGCTAACAAAGCAATGCCATCAGTCAAATCGAAGTCGTTAATGCCAAAGCAGCCCATGGTTCGGTGCACGCTCAATTACACCTACCAAAATATCGTCGATTATAGCAAGGAATAGCGGTGGTAGTATACATCCTCGCCTCACACCAGCACCGCATAAGGTCGGATAAGGCTCCGTTATGCAGAGCGCCTCATGCTCATGCCCCGCAGTTTTTCGTAATTGAGTCGGGCGAATGCTTTTTCGGACTGAATGAATACCAATTACAGGGACTCTTGGAATTTGTTGACCTGCTTCATGATTACACGGAGCGTGACAATATGGTCCACACAAGACCTTCTCATCCACACAAATGACAGGCATGATCTATGGAATTGTTGGGTTTCGCGAATAGCATTATTTGCGCTTCTCATTAATATGTCATCAAGTCAATGTCAATGGTAATGTTGTCAAATGTTCCAACTCAAGCTTCGCTAGCTGAAAAATGTTTATTTTCAAACAAGTGAACGGTATTCCCTTAACTGAAATGCATTTCATAACTCAAACTAGTTATTAAATGCATTTAAAGCACAGAGAACAAACCTGATGGTACTGGTGTTGCACAATTTACACTAGACACTAAGTGCCGGTAACGCCAAGTGGCAATTTTCAACAGAAAATTTATCGATACTAGCGCCAAATTGGTCGAAAGTGGAAAGCTTATAGAGGAAGCGCCACATAACGGCGATGATCCCACTTATCTTTATACAAGTTTCTGACTGAAGTTGAACGTCTGTTCTCTGGTGTTTAAAGTGCATCACTGTGCATTTGACACTTCTAGACGATTTGATATTGCACAATTTTGACAGATACGTGTCATCACTCAGTCACAGAGAACAGACGTCCAACTTCCACCAGAAGCTTGGGTAAAGATAAGTGCGAACGTCGCCGTTACGTAGCGCTAGCGTCTCCTGATTTCCTCTATAAGTTTTCCACTTTCGACTAATAGTTCTCTGTGGCTAAAGGTCACGAGTTCAAATCGCATCCCCGGAAAAGTCACGAATGACCTAAACTGCGTTGAAATGACTACAATACAAACAAAAACTGGAAGCTTGTTGCAGTTAGCAAATGTTTCAGCTAAAATTTCGCTTATGGCGAACATTCGGTGTCCCAAAAAATCGTGTTCAAAACCAATAGATCGTACTTACCCCCGCTGCCACTGGTACTGCTGATGAACTGCTTCTTGGTCCCATTGACGGCCGTATTGATCATGTAGCCGATCTTGGTAAAGCTGGACTGTCGTATCACAGGTCGTGGTGGTATCGGTGGCGGCGAGTTGGGACTATGCGGAGGACTGACATATTCTGGACTTCCACTGCTCCCTCCTCCACCTCCGCTGCCACCCCCGCCGGGAATGGCAATCGGACTGGAGCTCAGCGTCGAACGGCCCCATCGGCCCAACGAGGGTGTGCTCTGCCTAATGCTAGTTTGAACTTTGGCTGTTTGGAAGAAAATAGAAAGGAATACCCCGATGTTAGTTGCTGGTTAATTTCAATCAACGGCACAACAACAAAGTAATCTGCGCTGAAATAAATAAGAATTTCATTGCCTACTATCGAATTTGGTGGTGCACTCATGTCATTCAAACCGTTTGTTTACGTCATAGTGACGTATATTCTATTGAAAACCTTGACAAATTTCATCCATTTATTTACTCTGGAGTGTGTTTTGCATAGGTAGTATGTGACAAACGTAAACAAATTGACATTTAAGTGCTACCGGACACTCTGCCCTCTCTTCGTAAAGGAAAATGTGGGCCCACTACCTCATTTCTGTTTCATTTAAAAAAAAAACTATTTGTCGTATGTGCCAACCGATCAAACATACCGATCAAAACACTTATGCATGGGGGCGAGAGAGAAAAAGGAAGTCTATCAAAACACTTGATTGCATTACTTATGTTTATCATTATCAAATCTACACTGCGTGTCGTCGTCGCGCGCTGATAACACGCAAAAAAACACTCCATTAAATCAGGCCAACCAGAGGAAGGATTTATGAAACACAACCGCAAATATTCACTCGGAAGTCGTACGCAGAAGAAGACCACAAAGTCTATGCAAATAAATGTAAACAAAGGCAGACGCGAAATTTAATACTTCACCACGTGGTCAGAATTTCAGTTCCGTTGCCATTGGCACCTGGCGGCATTCGCCTCCGTCCGACCGACCGACCGACCGACAGCCAGGAAGAAAAAAAGAATGAAAGCAAATTTCCAAGGAAAAGTAATCGAGAACAAAATGTTATTTTTTTTCCCTGCGGTTGTTTGGATGCACCTCAATAATTCGGTGCTGTTTGTTTATAGTTGTTGTTATTTACAGTGAAACTGGTCCACAGCTGGGCGAACGTGGATTGATCAAAACTTTCCACCGAAAGGTCTCAACTTTCTCGCTGGTTCACATTGATGAATTGCACTGTTTACGAACGGTGCTTATTACCGTATATTGCAAGGGCGTTGTTGTTGACAGCGTCTTTGGACTTTTTTTATTTTCGCATTCCGATTCTCATTGCCCACCCAGATAAAAAAAATACCGTAAGTAAACCATAAAAAAGATAACTTTTTTGTTCGAGATGATATTCACAATTCATTTTATGGTAAATTTATCTTATAAGAGATAACAACAACAATATATTTACAATATTAGATTGCGAAATTTTACCCCTTATTTATCAATAATTTCATGGTATAAACAATATAGTTTGTTGTATTTTTATGTTTATTAACCTTTTTTCTTCATCCAGTTTGTTTATTTGGAAGGCTCTATCGCGTTAGCTTTACGGAGCCGATAATTCATTGTTCACTGTTTGTAGCAAAGTTCACTTCAAGACCAACAATTGAAATGGCCTCAACTCAATTTTGTAAACAAACCTTGTAAGGCCACTTTCTCGCGAACCGAAACCTACATTCGGAAACCTAAACCACAATCGAGTAGAGAAGAATTTCTCCTACCGGTTCATTCTGTTGTTTTGCCTTTTCAGACTTCGGTTCGCGAGAAAATGGGCTTACAAGGTGTGTTTACAAAATGGAGTTGAGGCCTTTTCAATTGTTGGTCTTGACTTAATTCTATGTCTAGTAGGGGTTGGGCCGAATACTCGCGGCTTACTCGAGGTTAGAAGGGTATATTGACGAATGATATGATCAGGGGAGGAGCTTAGGGGTGGGTTTTCGTTGTCTCATCAGAGCGTTGTCGCCAGTATGAACAGTCGGTTCTAGATGTTTAAACCATTGGTTTGTAACAATAAATTGTATTGTATTTCTATAATATTTTTTATTATGGATAATTTTATGCATTGCGCGATTTTTTCTTGTAAATGAAGCAAGAAAATACCTTTATCAGCCACACAACTGGTAGAAACTAATAGCGAATTCGTTTATTATCGGGGTTGGAACCAGTTCGAAACCGAACTTTTTGCCAGTGCGAACCTCAACCTGAGCTAGGTTTTAAAAACAAACGAGCAAACTGACGTCCACGTCCGGATTACGTGCCACGTCCGGATTACGATTGCCACCGCTTCCAGGCTTCCTGGCGGTCGACAGACGCTCCCCGAACACTTTTAAAACGTTTGTCAAGGCCAGCAATTTTGCCAACTTGGCGTGTGAGAACGTCGGATACTCTTGCTGCGCGAGCAAAATTTTTACACGCTGCTCCTCTTGCTTGGACGTAATTTTGAAAACTGGAATGCAAACGGTGAAAACTCATCATAGAAACCATTGTATATGTACTCAACTTCCAAATGCAGCATTTCAGGTTTTGTTTATTCATTTTTAACAGAAATACACCTATTTGAAGTTGACCAATTTTTGTGTGTTCCAGACTTTAGAACAGCTTGAGGAAAATTTTCAGGAGATCTACTGAGAAATTTGTTGAGCTTCAGGATAGTTCGTAGATCTTGAGAACAGAACTACAAAACTTCAGAAAATTTTCCAGAAATTAAAAGAAATTAGTAGTAGATCTTCAGAAAAGTGTTATAAGAAATTTTCAAAACTTCAAGCAAGCTAAAATATTTTCAGCTCAATTTGTAAAACTATTAGGGAAATTTTGCAAATCTTTAGGGAAATTCAAAGAACTTCAGATAAGTCCAAGAATCTACAGTGAACCTTAAAGAATTTCACAGAGGTTTGGTGATCCAATGAAAAATTATCTTCAGAACAAAGCTACAGAACTTTGAAAAAAATTGCAGAACTTCTGAAAAAATCCCAAGAATGGTCATAGACCTTCAGATAAATTTGAAAAACTTCAAGAAAGTGTGCAGGTTTTCTGATACATTTTTAGAATCTCTGAAATTTTACTGGATCAGTAAAATTTGCAAAGCTTCAGGGAAGTTCGGCGATTTAAAAAAAATATTTATACGATTTCAGGGAAATTTATAGATCTTGAGAGAAACATTTAGAACTTCAAGGAATCTCAAATATGTTCAGATAAATTTTGAGAACTTTGGATAATTTAGAAGATCTTTTGGAAAATTTTCAGAGCTTCAGGGTAGCCCGAGAGCCTACAGAGAAATTTACAAAACATCTGAGAAATTTATACAGTCTCAAAGTAAGATCTTGAGAATAGAACTACGGAGCTTCAGACAACTTTGCAGATGAAGATCTTTGAGTGTGTTGGTTAATTTCCTTTTAATTCCGTTATAATTGCTTATCTTTTGACAGATACGCGTATTTCGTCTACTACTAGCAGACTCCATCAGTGCCAAGTACTCAACACCACTGAAGAATCCATCTTTTATCTACGAGTTATATACTTATCAATAGGTACTAAAAATCAAGGTGGCAAATACTCATTTCAGCTAAAACAATGTTTTTTTTTTATTATGAAATAATTAGATGCTATGATCATATTTTGAATTGGTAAGATACAAGAAGAGGTTGCAAAGAATGTGTTTGACATATTAAACCTGTTTATTTCACTGCATGAGAGTCACAATCAGCGATTTTCACATACTCACTCACTCACTCACTCACTCACTCACTCACTCACTCACTCACTTACTCACTCACTCACTCACTCACTCACTCACTCACTCAGCGATCAGCAAATCGCTGATTGTGACTCATAGAAAGCAAAATTTACAGGTTTTATGTTTCAAACGCATACTTTGTAACCTCTTCTTGTAAGTTACAAGTAAAACATGTCATCATACCAGCCTTTGGTTTTATTATTCCAAAAAACATTATTTTAGCTGAAATGAGTATTTGCAACCTTGCTAAAAATCAGCAGGTATCGACTGCCATGTTACAATTTACCTAACTAGGTACTTAAATTTAGTCTCCAACAGATAGAGAACAGAACTTTAAATATATTTGCAGAACTTCAGAAGATAAATCTGCAGAACTGCAAGGAATTTTGCAGATCTTCAGAGACATTCGGAGGTTCAGAAAGCTCCACAGTTTCAGAAAAATGTGAGATCTTCAGAAAAATTCGTAAACGTTCAGAAAAGTACTTCTATTTCAAAAACAAATCTCAGCGACGCACGAAATTCCAAGATTTTGCAGAACTCCATGGAAGTTGGAAATAGATAGTTCTGAAGAACTTCAGAGAAGTCTGTAGACTTTTAAGAGAACGCTGTAGAACTTCAGGAAGTTTGTACATTTTTAGACAAAACTACTACTACTTTAGAGAAATTCGTGTAACAGGTTCAGGGAAGTTCAAATATTTTCAGATAATTTGTAAAGCTTTGGGGAATTTCAAAGAATTTCAGAAAAATCTGCAGAACTTTTTTGGAAGTCCATGATTCCACAAAGAAGTTTACAGAAGTTTAGAGGAGATCTCCGAGCTTATAAATTTATTGAACTTCAGGGCAGTTCGTAGATCTTCAGAGCACAAATACAGTACAGATAATTTTTTTTAACAGAGAAATTTACAGAATTGCTTCAGGGAAGTACTAAGATGTTCAGGGCTTAAAGGAGTTGTGTATGTGTGCTGAGAAATTTGCAGAATTTTGGAGAAATTCCCGGAGGTAGACAGCAAACTTGTACTAGTTTTCTTGACTAATACCCGGACCAAAATGTTTTCATAGTATCACAAAACTTAAGTAGTAAAGCGTGGTCAGAAACACTATGACAGGTTTTCAGCTCATATATGCCTATAAACGGATATCATATGGAAGCAGGCCAATTCCCCCTCCCTCCATCTAACTCAGGAACCCATATGATAAATTTGTAACCAATTAGTTACAATGTCCTAGATTTTAATTTGTGCGTGTTGTTTTAGGAAACTGTAGTGTTTTTTTAGTGTCAATGTTGGGCTAGTAGCATTTGTAGGATTGTTGGTAAAATTGTTGTAACGGAAAAATGTATAAATTTGTGTTAGTAGGATTAGTTTGAAATCGATATTTTTATAACCATAATTGGGCGAGACATGATCATGTCTCGCCCAATTATGGTTATAAAAATATCGATTTCAAACTAATCCTACTAACACAAATTTATACATTT